TATATTATGTTTTTTCCAATGTATATTATGTTTGTTTATATGTATATTATGTTTTTTCTATGTATATTATGCTTGTTTCTATGTATATTATGTTTGTTTCTATGTGTTTATGCTCGTTTATATATATATGCATGTGTATATATATATACATATATATATATATATATAATGTTTGTTTATATGTTTCTTCCTGTATTACCTTCTCCCAGGCGTGTGTGATCCTTTCAATTTACCGGCATGTTCTGCCAAGAGTGTAGCCAGCCCCAAGTACCAAACTCAGGAGCAATGGATGCTGGACATGTGTAAAGCCAAAGATTTTGTCTGCCCTGAAATAAACGAAACAGGTTGGAAGAGATTGATTGCGATAAGATTACTACAATCTTGTGGGGAAAATATTTTTTCAAAAATAGCTCAAAGAAATAATTTTATAACGGGATTTACCTGTGTAAAATTTTGTAACACGTCTATTTATAGTAAACTTTGTAACACGTCTATTTATAGAAAACTTTGTAACACGTCTATTTACGTCTATTTATAGAAAACTTTGGAACACGTCTATTTATAGTAAACTTTGTAACACGTCTATTTATAGTAAACTTTGTAACACGTCTATGTATAGAAAACTTTGTAACACGTCTATTTATAGTAAACTTTGTAACACGTCTATTTATTGAAAACTTTGTAACACGTCTATTTATAGTAAACTTTGTAACACGCCTATTTATAGTAAACTTTGTAACACGTCTATTTATAGTAAACTTTGTAACACGTCTATTTATAGTAAACTCTACAACTTTTTTATAATTTTATTTCAACACCAGGTGTCCTTAACATTAGTCTAACATTGCCCCATGGTGGTAAGGTCCCAGCTAAAGTGACCACCTACATATGTCAGATCTTTGACTTCGAGAACATGACAACACCTGGAGATTACCACCTCATTGCCATGCAACCCATACTGGACAACAGATACGTCATACATCACATGGTTGCGTTTGGATGCGATGGTAAGAAATTACAGATGATTATTCATTTGATCAGACATTTGATAAGTTGACTTTTCTTCTACACACGCATTGTGGTGAATGGCCGACCGAATATCATGATGAAAAATGTTCTACAAAATACAATAAACAATTTAAAATAAAAATGTTTATGTTACAGTGTACAGATGTCAGTAAAATATTGTCGGATTGAATTTATAATGTACGGTGACAGGTGTACGCTAACATGTGTGCTGCTAAATGTGTCATTGTTTCAAAGTTCTCCCATGCAAAGCCTGAATCAGCGGCACTAACATCTTCGATGCCTACATGAAAAAAATTTTGTTTGTGGTGAGATTGAATTCAAGTCAGCAGAGGGCGATGACGTTAAAACAACAAAAAAAAATTTATAATGAGATGCCTCACATGTTTAACATCTCTGTTACTAAGATTGAAATGAATATTTTTCTCAGACCCCGAGGTCCCCAGCGTGGGAGCGTATGAGTGTGGGATGGCGCCCTCGCTTTTATGTAAGAAAGTCGTCACCATATGGCACGTTGGCCTGATGGGAGAATGTTTCTATCCAAAGGCTGGCGTCTCATTCGGAACGAAAGGTTTCAAGCGAGTCGCCATTCAGGTGAGGAAAGACATTGCTTGGTGTTAATCTGACAACAATCGGGTTGAAATATTAATGTGGAATGAAGTTTTAATAGACGGTCAAGGAAATATTCTGATGAAGTCAACGTTGGATGAATGCTGACTATTGGGAGTTTGGGACAGCCCCATTTGTCAGCTGGTTACGTCCATGTCCGATGCGTCACGACAACAGAGCAGGGCTTCTTCTGCTTATTTCCATTATTAAATCCAAGGAAAGTAGGCCATTAACATTCGCCAGGTCTCTGGCTATCCTAACTCTTTCCCACTCTTTCCAGTCTTCGTTACATCTTTGTTGATATCACTTCTTCATTTGCTTTTGTCTCTTCTTCGCCCTCTTGGTCCATTGAAGCATCCATAATAACAGTTGTCTTGTTATATTCCTATGGTATGACCTATGCATCTCATGGTATGACCTATCCATCTCATGATATGACCTATCAATCTCATTGTATGACCTATCCATCCCATGGTGTGACCTATCCATCTCATGGTACGACCTATCCATCTCATTGTATGACCTATCCATCCCATGGTGTGACCTATGCATCTCATGGTATGACCTATCCATCTCAGTGTATGACCTATCCATCTCATTGTATAATCTATCCCTCTCATGGTATGACTTATCTCTCTCATGGTATGACCTATCCATCTCCACCTACTTTTCTGGATTTCCTGCTCCACTCGTATGTGTTCCGTCCTTTCCTTCACCTCTGTGTATGGGATTATGTTGAATATCTGATATTGATTATTTTACTGATTAATTAGACAACAACAATGTGTGTCCATATAACAATATAAGGTAAGCTTTAATGATAATTTTACAGAATACTAAAGTAAACGTGTCGGCACACTCCTTCATCAGTACAACAAAAAGACAAAAATAGTATAAATTAAATTTACATAATATATATATATATACAGCTATCCTACCAAAAAAAAAGGGGGGGGGGGGGATTGGAGAGAGCGAAAAAAACCAGACAGAAGCAAAGTAAAGTAAAGTGTAAAGGAAGTGATTTGAGCAAAATTGTAAAAACCAAACAAGAAAAAAGACATGGCAGCTAGGTAAAATTGTGGATTTGGTTTATTCCCTATAGAGACAACGTACCAAATCGTGTCATTAATTTATTCTCCAAGTAAAAAAGCTTCATCACAGTCCAACACTTTTTATAATTAGTTAATTATTTTACTGAGACAGCTGTTCACGAAGGTTTGCAGTCTTTTTAAGTCTTTCTTGGTTGATCTCCAGCTTTCTGAAACATCCAGTTCAACAGAGATTCATGGGCCTAGAATTCCAAATACTTTTAAGTTAAGAAAAATCTCACCCACCCCCCCCCTTTTTCCTGTATCCTCACCTTGTTAAATGAATCCGACACTCACCCCAATCCTATATTTCATAGATAGGGAAAATATCCCACAACTCCTATGTTTCACCTCTTATTGTTGCAATTCCTATGTTTTCTCTCTAATAGCTATATCTCCTTTGTTTTACCTCTTGTTTCTAAATCCCCAATGTCTTCATCCCCTTCCCCCCCCCCTCAAATAGCTAAAACTTCTTTGTTTTACCTTTTATTGCAACATCTCCTATGTTTTCCCTCTAAGAGCTAAAACTCCCATTTTCCCTCTTATTGCTACATCTCTTATGTTTTCTCTTTCATTGCCACAACGCCTCTGCTTTTTTTTAAAACGTTTGTTTTAGTTTCATTTGGACTTGTAATAAATGACGTCATCACAGAGCTGGAGTCAGGGAAATAATGATTGTCTCCTAATTAAGTCTTATGTCGTTCTATTTTTATATCTTTTTATTTTAAAAAAATAAGTCTCTTTGAAGTTAGTAAAAATATTTTTTTTATTTTTTATTTTTAAAAATCCATTATTTTTATGCTTATTCCGTCTCGTGCTCATCTGCCACATAAGTAGTTCGTTGAAAAATTCTTCCCTTCTTTCATTAATTTAGCTTCACTGGAACAACCCTGATAGCAGAAGTGACTTGGTGGACAGTTCTGGAATGTTGCTATACTACACTCCACACAAGTAAAGAAAAAAAAAGATGTGTGTGTGGGGGGGGGGGATAATTACTCTTAATGTAAATCCATGTTTCCGCACTTAATTGCCCAATTAAAGAGGGGGGGGGGAGAGGGGGGTGTCACAGGTTGCAAATAAGTGTCTTAAAAGATAAAAAAGTTTTATTCACGTGAAGTCCTCTTTGATGTTAAAAGTCTCCATAGAGAAAACAATGAGTTCAGTTTCCAGCACCTAGACGTTAAAGCCCCCAAAAAATGACTTCTCGGACTTGGCTGAAACACACTTTTAAAGCGACTTTGTGCAAAGGTCTATTTTTAGGTGCATATCTCAATGTCAAATCTACGTTCGGCTTCACTTGCCATCTAGCAAAGTGTGAAAATTCTGTTCCGCTTGAGCGATTCTAAATACCGTGTTTTATGTAAAGCCAACTTTGAAGAGTTTACGTCTAAACCTGGTCATGGCGTGGTTCCAACCATACCCCTCAAACCAGTTACTCAGATTTGATGGATGGTTTCCAGTCCGGAAGGTCGAATTTAATTTTGTGACTTCGTTGGGGCTGTTGAAACATGGTTAGTGTAGGCCTGGTTAGTCCTGTCTAGGCCTTGTTAGTTCTGGTTATGTTTGTTTAGGCCTGGTTAGTCCTGTTTGGGGCCATTTAGTCCTGGTTAGGACTGTTTAGGCCTGGTTAGGTCTGTTTAGGCCTGGTTAGGTCTGTTTAGGCCTGGTTAGGACTGTTTAGGCCTGGTTAGGTCTGTTTAGGCCTGGTTTGGGCTGTTTAGGCCTGGTTAGGACTGTTTAGGCCTGGTTAGGTCTGTTTAGCCCTGGTTAGGTCTGATTATGTTTGTTTAGGGATGGTTAGACTTGTTAAAGTCTAGTTAGGCCTGGTTAGTCCTGTTTGGGGCCGTTTAGTCTTGGTTAGGACTGTTTAGGCCTGGCTAGGTCTGTTTAGGCCTGGTTAGGTCTGTTTAGGTCTGTTTAGGCCTGGTTAGGACTGTTTAGGCCTGGTTAGGTCTGTTTAGGCCTGTTAGGACTGTTTAGGCCTGGTTAGGACTGTTTAGGCCTGGTTAGCGCTGTTTAGGCCTAGTTAGGTCTGGTAAGGTCCGTTTAGGCCTGGGTAGGCCTTCAGATTCAAAGTGACATTTTATGACACTTGCAACTAAAACCATCATACATATTGAAGAGTTCCGCGTGACAGTCATTTAACTAGTGTTACTTGCAATTTAAACTTTACAAACAATGGATGGAAAAATATGTATTTTGGGGAGCGAAGTTGAATTTTTTTTTATTTTTTTTTTTACAAGAACGTGACATGGATGAAAGTAAAATAATAAAGCAATGTGTCCTTTGCTTAGGCGCCAGTATGAGTCCGGTGTTCTTATAACGGGTGTCCAATTATTCACACTGCCACCAGAAAGACTGAGATATGAACTCATCGGAACGTGTCACAGCACGTGCACTCGTAAGACCTTCAAAGGACCGGTTTGGGTCACGTCCGTCTGGAACCACATGCACTACGCAGGTAGGAAATATAAGGGCACATTACATAACATACGTCATCAAATAGGTTTAATAACGCTCTACTTTAATTTGATAATAATTTTCGGATTCTTTAATATTTTTTTTGCATAATTGATCGTATGATTAATATTACTATTCTATAAATAATCCGAGAAACAATGGTAATGACAATGATTGTACCATAGACTAAAGTAATTTGACAAAACATGCATTAAAGCAACGCACTTTATAAGAACCCCAATTAATGCTAACCCTGTGAATTTTATTTTGCGTGCCTATTGAACATAGCGTAACAGCCATACACACCTCCATAGAGAAGTTATTATTTGTCATGTGGAAATTAAGTTAGTAAGTAATCAAGTAACGCCATGCCATCGAACTGCAGGTAGAAGTGGGACAATCGAACTGATCAGAAACAATACCAGCAGCTTTATCATTAACGAGACTTCCTACAGCTATGACAGTCCGCAAGTCCAAAATTAGTAAGTAAAATGATTGAAATCAGAAGTGTTAAATTTTTAAGTAAATTTATTGAAGTTGCAATAAGTACTATAAGTAAGTAACTTTAAAGTATTAGCACAAAAGTTGACTTTAAGTTGTTTACCTGCAGCTAATAATTTTTATAAATTTCTCACAATTATTTTGAGTGTTTATAAAAAGACAATGAAAGTTGTTGAGCTTTAATGTACCATAGACTGTAAATTTATAACTGGCATAACTCTAGTAAATAATTAAATGAAATACACATTTGTTTTTAGATCAAATTGAAATGTTATTACGAAATTAAGAAAGTGTCATTGTGATGTCAATACTAAAATAAGAAGTTGTCATGTGATGTCAATACTAAAATAAGAAGTTGTCATTGTGATGTCAATACTAAGATAAGTTGTGATTGAGATGTCAAAACTAAAATAAGAAGTTGTTATTGAGATTTTAATACTAAAATAATAAGTTTTCATTGTGATGTCAATACTAAAATAAGTTGTCATTGAGATGTCAATACTAAAATAAGTTGTCATTGAGATGTCAATACTAAAATAAGTTGTCATTGAGATGTCAATACTAAAATAAGTTGTCATTGAGATGTCAAAACTAAAATAAGTTGTCATAGTGATGTCAATACTAAAATAAGAAGTTGTCATTGTCATGTCAATACTAAAATAAGAAATTGTCATTGTGATGTCAATACTAAAATAAGAAGTTGTCATTGTGACGTCAATACTAAAATAAGTTGTCATTGAGATGTAAAAACTAAAATAAGTTGTCAATGTGATGTCAATACTAAAATAAGTTGTCATTGTGATGTCAATACTAAAATAAGTTGTCATTGAGATGTCAATACTAAAATAAGTTGTCATTGAGATGTCAAAACTAAAATTAAATTGTCATTGAGATGTCAAAACTAAAATTAAATTGTCATTGAGGTGTCAAAACTAAAATAAATTGTCATTGTGGTCTCAATACTAAAATAAATTGTCATTGTGGTGTCAATACTAAAATAAGTTGTCATTGAGATGCCAAAACTAAAATAAGTTGTAATTGAGATGTTAATAATAAATTAAGTTGTCATTGAGATGTCAATACTAAACTAAATTTCGATTCTTTTTATCTTCAGGAAATTATTTAATGTAAAACAAAAAAAAGGAAATCATAGTTTATTAATTTTTTTAAAATACATTTTTATGAGTTATAAGGCTATCTCCAAATGTCTTTTGTTTTAAAATGTTTGGAGTTCCTAGTAAACTATATTGGAACAATCTTTGTTTGTATAGATAATGAATGCAATCTTCGGAAAACAATCTTTGTATAGTTAATGAATGCAATCTTTGGAAAACAATCTTTGTATAGTTACTGAATGCTTTCTTTGCAAAATAACCTTTGTTTGTATAGTTAATGAATGCAATCTTTGGAAAACAATCTTTGTATAATTACTGAATGCTTTCTTTGCAAAACAACCTTTGTTTGTATAGTTAATGAATGCAATCTTTGGAAAACAATCTTTGTTTGTATAGTTAATGAATGCAATCTTTGGAAAACAATCTTTGTTTGTATAGTTAATGAATGCAATCTTTGTTTGTATAGTTAATGAATGCAATCTTGGTTTGTATAGTTAATGAATGCAATTTTTGTTTGTATAGTTAATGATGCAATCTGTGTTTGTATAGTTAATGAATGCAATCTTGGTTTGTATAGTTAATGAATGCAATCTTTGTTTGTATAGTTAATGAATGCAATATTTGTTTGTATAGTTAATGAATGCAATCTTGGTTTGTATAGTTAATGAATGCAATCTTTGTTTGTATAGTTAATGAATGCAATCTTTGTTTGTATAGTTAATGAATGCAATCTTGGTTTGTATAGTTAATGAATGCAATCTTTGTTTGTATAGTTAATGAATGCAATCTTGGTTTGTATAGTTAATGAATGCAATCTTTGTTTGTATAGTTAATGAATGCACTCTTTGGAAAACAGTACTTGTTTCTATAATTTATAAAATCAATCCTTTTAAAAATCTCTGTTTCTAACAGCAGGGACAACCCTTTTCTACTTCTACCAGGAGACGAGCTCATCACCACATGTGGGTACAGCACAGCCAACAGGTCAAAGTCCACAAAATGGGGGGAGGCGACCAGTGACGAGATGTGCTACAGCTTCATGAACTTCTTTCCCAAGGAAAACATCTCTAACTGGTTCTGTGCTACAGACGGTCCAGATGTCAGGTAATGCTACTAATGTTCCAGATGTCAGTTAATGCTACTGACGGTCCAGATGTCAGGTAATGCTACTGACGGTCCAGATGTCAGTTGATGTTACTGACTGTCAAGATGTCAGGTAATGCTACTGACGGTCCAGATGTCAGGTAATGCTACTGACGGTCCAGATGTCAGGTAATGCTATTGACGGTCCAGATGTCAGTTAATGCTACTGAAGGTCCAGATGTCAGTTAATGCTATTGACGGTCCAGATGTCATTTAATGCTACTGACGGTCCAGATGTCAGGTAATGCTACTGACGGTCCATATGTCAGGTAATGCTACTGACGGTCCAGATGTCAGTTAATGCTACTGAAGGTCCAGATGTCAGGTAATGCTACTGACGGTCCAGATGTCAGTTAAAGCTACTGACTGTCAAGATGTCAGGTAATGCTACTGACGGTCCAGAAGTCAGGTAATGCTACTGACGGTGCAGATGTCAGGTAATGCTACTGACGGTCCAGATGTCAGGTAATGCTACTAATAACATCGCATTTGGAGATGGTGTGGGTGGGTCATCAAGCGTGAGCTCTTAATACCCACCCCCCAGGCACATAATCCTAGAAGAATAATCCCAGGCCTTGTGGATTTCGTCTGCCAAATCTACACCATCGTCACATTGTTATGGACAGATACCAGCAAACATTTAGAAAATGTTCAAACGATATGAAATGTGGGGGTTTTTTTTTTTTGGGTGGGGGGGGGACAATGAAAAAATAGCTTGAACGCGAAGATACACTTGGAAACAAATTATTGTTATAATAGTTGTTATAAAAACAATAATAATAATTGTACTTATTATTTATACAAAACTTTAACAAACGAAAATATCGGGGAAAAACACACCGTTTGTATCATTTTTTTTAAAGATGACAATGACGTCATTCTTGTCTCATTAAGGAAATTGTGAAATCAAATAACAATTTTCATATTCTTATTAAAAATTGACTTTTTTCCCCCAGCCAATGTGAGTCTTCGACGTACCAGGGATGCATGGAGTTGTACAGTTACAGCAACGCTTCATGGGTTAACGAGACCAGTCTGTACAGGGATCTCAAAGAGAATTGTAACAGTTACAGCCCTTGTCTAGAGGAATGTACCAAGACGTTAGTGAACCACAAGAAGGTCAACCCTTGTTTGAAGGACGAGATTTTTACACATATCAAGGTTTGTCTGCACTTCGTTAGCATTCATTTAACTTATCGACACTCTGTGTTCTCCTGACCCTCGCTATTCGTGAGTTACTGAAAGAATCATTGTTTGTTGATAAAAGGTAAATTAAAGTTATGAGTGCGCTGTTAATTTTAAAACGAAATAGCTTAGCCCTACAGTAAGCATGTCAAACTGACAGCCACATCTGTGTTGTCATGACAACAAGACAACTAACTGAATTTATTTTTAACAAAAACTCTTCCAGAATATTTCTATTACTTAAACTTAGAAACGTACAACGCGCATACAAATAGTTTTGCTTTTAGCCTACGGCTGAAACTTTCTATATATATTGGTGGAGCCGGGCCGTTTTCAGGCTACGCCCCAGGCACTGCTTTTCCTAGGCACGGCCCTGATTATAGCTATGAATCATGATTATAATTATCATTATGATTATTGTTTATTGTTGTTGTTGTAATTGTTATTGTTATTTTCATACATTTTTAAATGTATCGGCAGACAACTTGGTTGACACACCAGGACGTCGGTCGTGAGTTGCTGGCCCTGATGGCATCGTGTGACGTAGAGGCCTACATAGCCATGAAGTCTTCAGCAGCAGTGCCGACATCGAAACCGGAAGATGACGACACCATCAAGGAATTTAACGCCGCTTCATTGACAGCATCGTTTTCTCGTCTGCTGCTTCTGACTTCTTGTTTTATGAGTACGGCCCTGGTAGTGCTCACGTCTGGAATCTTCCATTAAACACAAGTTCTAACATAAAAAATAATGTGTTTATGAAAATAAAAAATATTTACTTGTATTACCAGACAGAAAAGTGAAGATAGACATATTACGTCATTTAACTTTCTAATTCTTATTTGTCAATCTTCTTTTTTTTTTAAAGTACGGCAGTTAAGATTAAATCCAAAGAAATACGGAGTATATCTTTTAAAAATTTAATATTTATACATAAATGGCATGGAACTTTTTGAAAAAAATATATTATTTTTATACAATGTGTTTGTCCTTTTTATATATATATATTTCTACATACAGTGATAAAATTTCTAAAAATTCTTTTAAAAATGTCAACAATGATCTCATGAGTGAATGGTTCTAAATATCAAATGATCTTCTCATGATTGTCTTGTTTTAAATGTATCGCTGATTAGTGGCAGCGAAAACGTTAACTTTAATTTTATTTCAACTCATTGGTTTTATTTACACAAATAATTCTTGAAAGAGCATCATAAATTCAACAAAGGAATATTGACTAATTAGGGCACAGAGAAAAAATATCTGAATTCTAACAACTCCAAATATCTCTACAATGTCCTCATTGGTCGCATTCATTGGTTGAACAGTACACTAGTCATGTGTCAACTATTTATTTTCCATTGATGGATAATTCTATGTATGACATTTTATGTTATAATGAACGTCTTATAAAAAATACAACTCTCCTTACATCCGTACAATTACATGTAATCCTAATTTGATCTACTCTTACATCCGTGCATGAGATGAAATCCTAACTTGGTCTACTCTTACATCAGTACATGAGATGAAATCCTA